AACCAAGTGCTTTTAGGAAGAAGGTTAGAAAAATGATAAATGAGGTGAAGTGAAGGGAATACATGGGTGGGTGCAGTGAAGGGGGGTAAATTGGGGTGAGGATGGGAAGGCTTCATAAGTGTAGTGAAGGTCCTGATGAAATGTGAGTGCATCAGTTCACGACGTATGTAATTCATTACTGTTACTGTCTTGTCTGGTTGGTATTAATTTTTAAGTTATGTACTTTAGGTTATATGGTTTCGTAATCTTATGAGTTGTTTTATTTTGAGTGTGTTGTGTCTCATTGTTTTGTTGTATCTCATTGTTCTGTTGTGTCTTATTGTTTTTGTTGTCTTATGTTTTTTGTGTCTTATTGTTTTGTCGTATCTCATTGTTCTGTTGTCTCATTGTTTTTGTTCTGTCTCATTGTTTTCTTCTGGCTCATTGTTCTGTTGTGTATTATTGTTTTTGTTGTCTTATGTTTGTTGTGTCTTATTGTTTTGTCGTATCTCATTGTTCTGTTGTCTCATTGTTTTTGTTCTGTCTCATTGTTTTCTTCTGGCTCATTGTTCTGTTGTGTATTATTGTTTTTGTTGTCTTATGTTTGTTGTGTCTTATTGTTTTGTCGTATCTCATTGTTCTGTTGTCTCATTGTTTTTGTTCTGTCTCATTGTTTTCTTCTGGCTCATTGTTCTGTTGTGTATTATTGTTTTTGTTGTCTTATGTTTGTTGTGTCTTATTGTTTTGTCGTATCTCATTGTTCTGTTGTCTCATTGTTTTTGTTCTGTCTCATTGTTTTCTTCTGGCTCATTGTTCTGTTGTGTATTATTGTTTTTGTTGTCTTATGTTTGTTGTGTCTTATTGTTTTGTCGTATCTCATTGTTCTGTTGTCTCATTGTTTTTGTTCTGTCTCATTGTTTTCTTCTGGCTCATTGTTCTGTTGTGTATTATTGTTTTTGTTGTCTTATGTTTGTTGTGTCTTATTGTTTTGTCGTATCTCATTGTTCTGTTGTCTCATTGTTTTTGTTCTGTCTCATTGTTTTCTTCTGGCTCATTGTTCTGTTGTGTATTATTGTTTTTGTTGTCTTATGTTTGTTGTGTCTTATTGTTTTGTCGTATCTCATTGTTCTGTTGTCTCATTGTTTTTGTTCTGTCTCATTGTTTTCTTCTGGCTCATTGTTCTGTTGTGTATTATTGTTTTTGTTGTCTTATGTTTGTTGTGTCTTATTGTTTTGTCGTATCTCATTGTTCTGTTGTCTCATTGTTTTTGTTCTGTCTCATTGTTTTCTTCTGGCTCATTGTTCTGTTGTGTATTATTGTTTTTGTTGTCTTATGTTTGTTGTGTCTTATTGTTTTGTCGTATCTCATTGTTCTGTTGTCTCATTGTTTTTGTTCTGTCTCATTGTTTTCTTCTGGCTCATTGTTCTGTTGTGTATTATTGTTTTTGTTGTCTTATGTTTGTTGTGTCTTATTGTTTTGTCGTATCTCATTGTTCTGTTGTCTCATTGTTTTTGTTCTGTCTCATTGTTTTCTTCTGGCTCATTGTTCTGTTGTGTATTATTGTTTTTGTTGTCTTATGTTTGTTGTGTCTTATTGTTTTGTCGTATCTCATTGTTCTGTTGTCTCATTGTTTTTGTTCTGTCTCATTGTTTTCTTCTGGCTCATTGTTCTGTTGTGTATTATTGTTTTTGTTGTCTTATGTTTGTTGTGTCTTATTGTTTTGTCGTATCTCATTGTTCTGTTGTCTCATTGTTTTTGTTCTGTCTCATTGTTTTCTTCTGGCTCATTGTTCTGTTGTGTATTATTGTTTTTGTTGTCTTATGTTTGTTGTGTCTTATTGTTTTGTCGTATCTCATTGTTCTGTTGTCTCATTGTTTTTGTTCTGTCTCATTGTTTTCTTCTGGCTCATTGTTCTGTTGTGTATTATTGTTTTTGTTGTCTTATGTTTGTTGTGTCTTATTGTTTTGTCGTATCTCATTGTTCTGTTGTCTCATTGTTTTTGTTCTGTCTCATTGTTTTCTTCTGGCTCATTGTTCTGTTGTGTATTATTGTTTTTGTTGTCTTATGTTTGTTGTGTCTTATTGTTTTGTCGTATCTCATTGTTCTGTTGTCTCATTGTTTTTGTTCTGTCTCATTGTTTTCTTCTGGCTCATTGTTCTGTTGTGTATTATTGTTTTTGTTGTCTTATGTTTGTTGTGTCTTATTGTTTTGTCGTATCTCATTGTTCTGTTGTCTCATTGTTTTTGTTCTGTCTCATTGTTTTCTTCTGGCTCATTGTTCTGTTGTGTATTATTGTTTTTGTTGTCTTATGTTTGTTGTGTCTTATTGTTTTGTCGTATCTCATTGTTCTGTTGTCTCATTGTTTTTGTTCTGTCTCATTGTTTTCTTCTGGCTCATTGTTCTGTTGTGTATTATTGTTTTTGTTGTCTTATGTTTGTTGTGTCTTATTGTTTTGTCGTATCTCATTGTTCTGTTGTCTCATTGTTTTTGTTCTGTCTCATTGTTTTCTTCTGGCTCATTGTTCTGTTGTGTATTATTGTTTTTGTTGTCTTATGTTTTTTGTGTCTTATTGTTTTGTCGTATCTCATTGTTCTGTTGTCTCATTGTTTTTGTTCTGTCTCATTGTTTTCTTCTGGCTCATTGTTCTGTTGTGTATTATTGTTTTTGTTGTCTTATGTTTTTTGTCTACTGTTTTGTTGTATCTCATTGTTCTGTTGTGTCTTATTGTTCTGTTGTGTCTTATTGTTTTGTGTCTTATTGTAGGTCACTGCCTCCGGGTAAAAACCCATTTGCAGTCAAAATAAATAATAATAAAAACTTCCGATCTGCGGAATCTATACGACAGCTGGCTCCAGTTCGAGGCGCAACACGGTGTTGCTTCCTCCTCCCGCATCAGTGCCACATGAGTTTCAAAAAACGAAGCCGACTAAGTCATCGAGTATTTATTCTCCAGCGGCAACAGATCATAAATGCCTTTCGGTGTTTCATCGTGCCAAAGCCGTCTTGACCAGCCCGGTTTTTCATCGATCTCCCTCCCTGGACTAAATTTTTCAGGCTACCAGCCATTACGTTATATTTAGCAGCTCAGGTCCTACCAACGCTTCGCCCCAGGGAAAATATGGTCACCCCTCCTTGGGGGTGGGGTTCCAGTTGCAGATCCACCCACACCACACCCGGTTCTACGGAGTCAACTACCAGGGCCAACATTATGTGATGAGTCGTCTTCCGATGGGCCATTTCCTTGGCACGTTCTACTCTTCAGCGGGGTAGCCTAAGGAGTGTTCCCTCTTCTTCGTCAGCTCTTTGGCATCACTATGGTTACCTACCTCGACGATTCGCTGATTTTCGGCCCTCACCTCAATGCTCCAGCCTACCCAAGTCACGGTCTACTTCGGGCTGTCCATCAACGTTCTGCGGCAGACCTTGCGGCCTACATCATGTATCCAGCATCTTAGGGACGTTCTGCATCTGGTTCTCAGGGCCTCAGTCCAGGACCTTTGTCACAACACGTGTCACGCTACCTGAAACTCTTGGGCTATGGGTTGACCTCTATTTGCAGCAACGCATCTGCTTCATCTTGACAGCTACCGGTATGCGATCCTCCAAGACCCCCGTTGCCTGAGGGTGTCTTTTTGGTTTCGTCAGCTGTACTCTGACGCGATACCTTCAACTGCAGGCGCAGAATCGGCCCTCCGCACCGTACGCATCAGTCCTTCTAATAGGATGAACGCACAATTAACTTCGCCCATATGGCAGCAGCGCTTGTCATTCTCATCTGGGCATTACGGTTCCACGCGCAGCCAACAACATTCACCTTGGACATGGATTCGGACATTACATATTACGCGCTGCGCACTGATAAGGGGGCAACGCTCCGCCATAACCAGCTCTTACAACAGCTATTTTGTGCTTCTGTCAAGATAAAATTTGAACGATGCCATGGCCTCGCTGTCTTCTTTGTCCACTCCTAGGCAAATATGGATGTTCCTTTATCTAGAATGATACTTGTCCAATACAATTCGGATTATTCACACGCTATAAACGGGCAGTACTCACTGCGGAGCCCGGGAGAAGCACAGATGAACTTTGAGGGATATGGGCTTTAGTTGGGCAATCATGGGCAGGTGATTGGTTGGGCTGACCATGGACTGGGATGGACGTGAGTTTGACAGGTCAAAGGCTGGACATATGCTGCTCTGGGCATGGGCCGGCCTTGATATGTAATGGTGTTAGTAAGGTCTGGTGAAGACCTGAGCTGGGATGGCCACCGGCTTCCTATGCATCCGTGCACTTTTCAGTCGTTCTGTAAGAGTGGCTATAAACCTATCTGGTCCATATACCAATCCCCATGTGTGTGTATAGCTTTCCGCCACCTATTCGTCTCAACTGTCTGTTTTACATACACATCTCTGAAGCTATCGATCCATCTATTTATCTATCCCTCTATTTACAAGTCTATCGATTTCTCTACCAATGTACATCGATCTATTAACATTCCACCGATATCTATCAATAAGAATATTCATAGTTCTTTATACCTAACATACCTATGTACTTACGTATATATCATCATCTATTTTTTATTACATGTACATAAATAGTTTCCTATCCTGTACCTATCTCTTTATTTATACAGAATGGCGCATAACTGAGAACCCGCAGGAAAGCGCGGGAGTATTCCAGACGCTTTCCATCATCTCTTGGCTGTTATTTTTGCACCAGCTGAATCTTGTACTCGTAAGAAAAAATATGAAAGTCCTGCGTCAACATTCGCCGCAGCCGATCGGGTGTTAAAATCTCCGCGAAATTACCTCTGTATCAATAAAACCGAGCAACAGTTTGTGAAATAACAGTTCAACAGTTGCTGCACACTGCTGGGATGCAAGCCTCCATTTGCAAAAAATAAAAACGTAAATAATTTTTTTTTAAAATGGGATGATTAATTATGCGCCGTACTGTATTATTCATCTACGTATCTACGGAAGGGAAATATATAATACAAAAATAACAGGGCCGCGAACTCTGTTTAAGCAGAAAATTGTTTTATTGTAACCACCATCACAATGATGATTATATTTATTCATTTACTCTTATTGTACTAACATATAAAAAGCCATCAAAAGCTCATATTTCTTTGTTTGAGAAATTATCAATATTTTGATGTATAATAACAATGTGTGCTATCCAGCCTTAATGTAGACTGCTTCGGAACACACAGAGTATACAAAATACACACGCAAGCAGGCACACAAGCAAGTATTGGCTGTTTATTCCATCACACGTACAAAACACACAGAAAAGAAGTATTATTACTTTCTAGATACCTTACAATTAACCATATCACTTGTCTCAGGACAAATCTGTTGACGCACTAAATGTTTGAGAGTACATATATAGGAAATCACCTTTAGCCCATCTATCAAATCAAACACAGCTTGTCATAAATTCAGTCCCATCATATACACAGCTGCCACATAAGTACAGTTAAATTTAATTTCCGGATCTTGTTAACCTAGTAAACACCGTCCTGGTATGCAATTTTATTTATTTTCATGGAAATGCACGGGTCTGTTACCTGAGGAAGTTTTAATTACAAAATTATTGCACGCAAACTCATAACAATCAGGTTTCATGGTTAGACACGCTTGGTCAAAGCATATAAAATCAACGTAATGTAATTCGTAAAACAAGTTTCTTCTCAGAAACTATCGAAGGGCTGCGATGATATTTCGTACTGAGCCAAATAATAAAATTCGTTTAGAGAGTTCTATTCCATTTCGTATCGATCCACTTTGCATGACGATCAAGAACCTCATATTGTGTCCCAAATATTAATCGTCCTACAAAACGTACCAAATGACATAGCGCACAAATCATAATGATATATATAAATATAACATTAATTTGAAACATTCTTAGATACGGTAAATACTGAACAAAATACAAGGATCTGAATTTCTAAGTACGGTCCCAGAGACAAAAGGAACCTAGGCCCAGACTGCTTGTACTAGTAACAATACATGCAACAGGCAAAACTGCTTGTTCTAAAACCAAATGTCTGTAACTTCAGGCTTTCCCTCGTGATTTGGCAATCAGTTTGTAAGACCAATTGATTTCTTTCCTGGACTACATACTTAGAACTGGCATCATAATCATTGCTTTTTACTGATAACTTAAAGTGACGGTCCATTTGGTTTCTGCAACATTACTTGGAACAGATTAAAATATATCAAGCATCCACATATATCCATGTTTGTGATTTTATGACAAGCTTTTATTTTTAATGATCTAGGCGTCCATAATGTCATCGTTAAACAGATTTGCTGAAACAGGATCGACAATATCAAGTTACGACTAAGAGGCATCTTTTTCCCAGATATTACACTTCGAATCATATTTGTGTATGTATATTACACTTTTGGGCTTAAGTATTCACAAAAACACTCCTCTTGTTAAGAATTTAGGAATATTTTTGTAATTACATTAATGTAGCACAGCCACATGTCATCCGAACATGACTAATGTTACATAACTGAAGCACATAATTCGTATTTGTAATGAACCACACTTTACATCAAGAAACCATATTCATCATATAAGCCATTGCTTAATTAGCAATTATTGTTATTTATATCAATGATAAAAAGGCTATATAATTACTAACTTTACATACGTTTGCTTTTCCCAACAACAACTGCCTCCAGTGCATGACTCGTAACTTCACTTACAAGGCACAGTCAGAAGCCAACGGTGTTAGTGATGACTTCGAATTTCAGAGCTTCTCAATTTCGGTCGTTGCTTTTCACACACCGAATCCAGCATTAAGATTGGGTTACAGGGCATTGTGGTCTGTTATCTGCAGCGGCGCTAGACTAATTAGATCAAATTTCCACACTGAAATGTAATTGTTTCTTCTATAAAAATGGTAAAAGTAGTTCACATTTAATTCCACCAGGAAAATGTTTTAAATATGTTCAATTATAACGGCAGCTTTGTAAAAATATCAGAGCCCTGTTCCCTATACAAACTTAGTAAATCAAGTTTTAGGATTCTCGGTGTCCTGGTGACACGAAATCTGCACATCCAGACTATCTAATGTCACTTTTACAAAGAGTAGTTCCAACAGCCCGTAAAATTCTAGTGTGGACAGATCGCAACACATGAAAACCTCACCAGTGACAGACGGACGTATTTCGGTCTCAGACGCACTGAAAGATCGAACAACATCCACCAAACACACAAGATGTTGCTTTCTGACTGACCAAGTAAGCGAACCTAGTAAAATACGGCTTCTCTTAAGACCAAGTGTAAACGGTAAAATGTAATACCTTTTCAAAACAAAACCATTAAGCTATGTTTACAAAAAAAATTGCACTTATAGAATTTAACACTTTAAACAGTCAAAACAAAGCACATGACGCAGAAAAATATACCACAAATGTATAAATCCGTTCATTTCATCTTAACCACTAGTCATGCGCCTTCCACATAACTGAGTACCAGGTCTGACCACGTGGAATACAACCATTCAGCCAAGAACGGAAGTCTTATAGTACAATGGAGCTGAAGTCGAATACAATAATTCTTGATTACACGGACCACAAATGGTAACTTCTTAAATACAAAACAAGTGGGTAATCACAAACCAATTTTCATACACGTGGCCACATCTTCCCAGAGTTCATGTGTACGAACAGTATCCTGGTCCCAGCGAAAGTTTCACCATCCTAACGTACAGCGTGTGCTCAGGACACAGAGCCGGCTGCAGTATATACTCACATAGAGACAGTTGATTTTACTACAGACTGCAACACTGTCATTAACATTGTAATGACCGTCATCAGGATACATTATCACATACCCAGGCGTTGCATAGCAGACATCATACCGTATTAAACTCAGAGATCTATAGCTAAAAATTTAGACTTACTCAAAAAGGAAATACTGCAACAAAATAAACTGTCTTCCACAAATCTGTAGCTTCGTCATTAACTAGTCCAATCCATCGACATCACCAGTTTTTTAAAATTATAAATATATTCCAGATTTTTAAATTAACACAAACTGAATAATTGGTCGTTTCGTAAATGTGAACTCAAGGCTTCCTTTAAGTAGCAAGAGGATTAACACAGCATGAAAAACAAACCAGAAACAGTACGCAAGCCATTCAAATGCACAGAACATGTAAATTGCCACTAATAAGTATCAATGGTACTACTACAGTTCCGATACAGAACAGACAAGCTCCTTTTCTATAGAGATACATAACAGGACACTTTCATCCTTGAATAAAATCAATGATTAGAAATAAGTTCATAAAATGTGGTAAGGCATACTTAAGGATATCGTGAAGGAAGAGATCTCCACCATCTTCCTTCTACCCAGAAGATGTCAAATATCCCTTCCTCCGAATCACTGGTAACCACCTACAAGGCTGCATAGCGTTGCAACTCAAAAGTATAGACCCACATTTTTAGATCTGTGAAAACCTCAAAACTCTCAAAACTTTTATTTTACTTGTTTGAGGGCAATTATTCACAAAGCTACTTAACCTTAAGTTAGTTTCTCAGCTTTCATGTGATCGCCCTCGATTGCCTGGGGACATCGAATCTGTACGAAATTTAAAAAAAATGAATAGAATCAGATGCTAAAGGCGAATTTAATGTTTGTCCCTTGGTGAACAGGACCTCCCTATGTAGAAATCATATTCACTCATAGGTATATACTGCAAGTTATTTTGCATGCACATATTTCTGGTCTCTGCGACTACTAATCAACTATTCAATCTTTTTCACTCCATGTACGGTTTCAACTACACCATTAAAGAAATATAATTACAGTAAATGTGATGAAATTATATAATATGGCATACACAATGCGCGTCAGTCGGATTCAATTGTTGTTGAGATGGGCAATAACAATCAATTGTTTATTTAAAAAAAACAAGGAGGGAAGCTTCCCACAGTAATAATGTTGCTAATCTGCAACGACATCTATATTACAATAACCATTCTAAGCTATTCTAACTACAAAAAGCCTACACCAAATTGTTTTATTATTATTTTCTTATATTTTAAGTATTACAAAAAATTTGTACTTTGATAGGGGAGGTTGGAGCGGGAAGGTTCTGTTTTATTACCGATAATTGAGACGACTTGGTTCGGTAAAATTGATACATTTATAACAACACGTAAGGAGCAAATTAAGGCATCTGCTTACCTTGTGTATTCACATTTCATTTGACAGTAGAGGGGTCACAACAATTTCGAACATACACTTTGCCTCTTTTATGTCTTCGCACGATTGCGGTAGTGTTGAAAATCTTGTCTTTCCGAAAACTGATAATGAATTTTTAAATTGGAATGTCGGGTTTTTTTTAAACGAAAAGCTATCTCCCCATATTTCTGCTTAAATATCCCAAAAGCCTTTGATGCCAAATATTTCTGAGAGATAGTCCTATTATATGCCCCGTACAAGTCCTGATCGGAGCCTATACAGTGTTAAAGGGGGGTGGGAGGGCTTATGTACTCAAAAACTACCGGTTCATGTGAGATTTGCTGTTGGAACGGAACAATTCTATTTCCCCTCCGAGTTCTTCGGTTTTCCCTGCCATCATTCCCCGCAGTTCCATATGCACTCACATATTATCTTAGGGATAAACAAAGGGCCCATTAGACGCCAACAAAGACAAAGTCTCACCCCATCGCAACAATACAGCAGTTACAATAAACAATTATTTCAGCCACTGCAAATGTTGCTCCAGACAATGAATATCGCTCTAATGAAACCTCAAAACTCTCAAAACTTTTATTTTACTTGTTTGAGGGCAATTATTCACAAAGCTACTTAACCTTAAGTTAGTTTCTCAGCTTTCATGTGATCGCCCTCGATTGCCTGGGGACATCGAATCTGTACGAAATTTAAAAAAAATGAATAGAATCAGATGCTAAAGGCGAATTTAATGTTTGTCCCTTGGTGAACAGGACCTCCCTATGTAGAAATCATATTCACTCATAGGTATATACTGCAAGTTATTTTGCATGCACATATTTCTGGTCTCTGCGACTACTAATCAACTATTCAATCTTTTTCACTCCATGTACGGTTTCAACTACACCATTAAAGAAATATAATTACAGTAAATGTGATGAAATTATATAATATGGCATACACAATGCGCGTCAGTCGGATTCAATTGTTGTTGAGATGGGCAATAACAATCAATTGTTTATTTAAAAAAAACAAGGAGGGAAGCTTCCCACAGTAATAATGTTGCTAATCTGCAACGACATCTATATTACAATAACCATTCTAAGCTATTCTAACTACAAAAAGCCTACACCAAATTGTTTTATTATTATTTTCTTATATTTTAAGTATTACAAAAAATTTGTACTTTGATAGGGGAGGTTGGAGCGGGAAGGTTCTGTTTTATTACCGATAATTGAGACGACTTGGTTCGGTAAAATTGATACATTTATAACAACACGTAAGGAGCAAATTAAGGCATCTGCTTACCTTGTGTATTCACATTTCATTTGACAGTAGAGGGGTCACAACAATTTCGAACATACACTTTGCCTCTTTTATGTCTTCGCACGATTGCGGTAGTGTTGAAAATCTTGTCTTTCCGAAAACTGATAATGAATTTTTAAATTGGAATGTCGGGTTTTTTTTAAACGAAAAGCTATCTCCCCATATTTCTGCTTAAATATCCCAAAAGCCTTTGATGCCAAATATTTCTGAGAGATAGTCCTATTATATGCCCCGTACAAGTCCTGATCGGAGCCTATACAGTGTTAAAGGGGGGTGGGAGGGCTTATGTACTCAAAAACTACCGGTTCATGTGAGATTTGCTGTTGGAACGGAACAATTCTATTTCCCCTCCGAGTTCTTCGGTTTTCCCTGCCATCATTCCCCGCAGTTCCATATGCACTCACATATTATCTTAGGGATAAACAAAGGGCCCATTAGACGCCAACAAAGACAAAGTCTCACCCCATCGCAACAATACAGCAGTTACAATAAACAATTATTTCAGCCACTGCAAATGTTGCTCCAGACAATGAATATCGCTCTAATGTCATCATCCTTTCCCGTATTAGGCCACGAGGCCAGTTACGGTCTTGTATTTTCCGTCCATCTCTTCTGAGGTCGGCCGAGAGATATTTTCCCAGCAGGGCGGTATTTCAAAATTGCCTTTGGGAATCCCGCCTTAAATGCAACAAAATCTATTGTAAATCTCCCAACACAGTAGCGTACGTGTTTCTGTGACACAAGGTTAGGAGGAGCCTTAATTCGCTTCAGTTCTGTCAAATTCACCTCCGTCAGGTGTCATCAATGAGCCTGCCATAAAACAAAAAACCGATCCCTAGCTCTCATGAAAAACATGGAAAGCAAACAATCAAGTAGCGGTTGTTTAATTCCTGCCAACCATGTGACACAAAAGTTTGGTAATAATACAAAAAAACTACAAAATAAATCAATCATATTTTAATATTAGTTTCATTTAATATGGCTACGTAAGTTTACACCAATAGCCCATCTGCAAATACTATATTTTCACAAGCAAAGATCCCTCTATACTACAAACACAGCATGAAGCTACTTTAAACTACAGTTACAGAGTTACAAAGAATTCTTTTAGTTATTAATAGTTTCAAGTGACGTCATCCTGAAGCTATTTAATTACTTGTCTACGTACATTACAATCTAACTACGCGTGGTATTAGTATACTGGATGTCGTATTACAAGTGCTTGGAAATAGTGTCATTAATGTTATCACTTATTTATTATTGTAGGCCATATACAAGATATGTGTAAACAAGATGGCCGCTGCGCACCTGTTTAATTACTTTTAATTCGCGTGTATACAATGAACAGTTTTAAGCAAGCAAAACAGATGTAAGGCCATTCAAATAACGGTTGTGAACCTTCTCAAGGCCATTACCACTCTCCAAAATTGCTGTTTGACTCCTAGAAAATTAACAAAATTTGGACTTTTCAGACGTTTCTAGTAAGATTCATCATGTTACACCGCAAAGATGGAATCCGGTAAT